AATTAACATATTTGGAAAATCGGGTTGGCCATTCGGAAAATTACGGCAATAATAGTATAACAAAATTTTAATTGTTTAATTAAACAGAAAAAATATTATAATATTATAATCAGTATAAAATGATTTACGAAATCACGGCATTTACATGGATAACGTTTAACAAATCGTAAATCGGTAAATTTTTTTCGGTTTCAGTACTTCTCAGGGCCGTAGCAACCGGAGGGGGGGGGGGAGGCAGCACCCTTACAATAATTTGCTGATAATCAGTCTTTTTTCAAAATCATGCACACCTTTATCATTTAAAGCTGGGTTACAGTCCATTCTGCGCATGTGCCGGCTTTGTTTACATCTTTTGTTTTGGTTTGGATCCACTTCAATTGTATAATATGAAGTATACGGCTATGCACTAAACAAATTATAAATGAAGGAACCAGGAGTGAAGCTAATTTTTTTTTTAAAATTGTACAAGCAATTAAATATTTTAACAGACCACCAATGGAAGATATGTTGCTGATTAATTCGACATTTTTCTTTCGTGTATTTCGTTAATGAAATATCCAGAAGAGGCCGACACAGCAAAGGTGCCGGGTGCGAGTTCGCAACCCATTGTACGTATTCTGAATATAATGTTCGGCATTGTAAAATAAACTTTGGAAGTGCCAAAGTAAACATGAACCTTTCCTTGGATTATTTGTTCGTCGAAACACATTGTCAGAGCCATTGTTGCTGTCATGGCAGATCGAAGCACTCGGAGAAATTAAGCTTTTCACTCATGGAAGATATGTGGAGACGATATGTTCATGTCGCGGCTTCTGTTTTCGATAGAGAGCCTGCAAAATTATGGGTAGTTTTTGCTCAAGCGCGTGCCACGAATAGGATTTTGATACATGTATGAACAATCGAAGGGTTCAAGAACGTGACAGTGACCAGACGGTGAGTTTGTATTATTGCTATTATGTACTGACACTGTTCGTTATACTGTTCGTTAATATAAACGTGATTCACACATGTACATGTAATCTTATTATTTTCGCGCATTGTAGTTTATACATGTTTCGTTTAGGCAAAAAATGGCCTGAGCAATGTTCATTTGAGAATATGTAATGTTGTTCATTGTGACTTGTTCTAAGTTGATCTAACAATACATGAATAAACTTTGTTTACATAGTTTAATACTTTGCCTGCCAAGAATATGCAGAGACATAATACAGTGTACATTTGAGTGACAGTACATTTTTGAAAGCTTTAACACATATGATTTGTTTTATTACATACTCTGTATAATTATGCATATCCTTGCCGAATAAAATATCAAATTATGTAAAAAGAGTTTACCCGTCTATACAAGTCTATAGAGGAATTTGTGGTAAAAATATCAGTGTTTCACTGTGCTTGAGTCTTTGCATTTAATTAATGATAAATATCTTTACATTTCAGAATCTTGTGGAAGCAATGGATTTAATTTTAAATGCCCTATGAGCGTCAGCCTAAATGTCCTATACAGTGTCAGCTAGCTACATTTGCTGATTTGGTTAATAATGAATTGCCAGGTGCACCGCTTCAACCAGACCCAGAGGAAAACCCAGAAAATGTCCCAGAGTGTTGGGAATGTGGATGCTGTGTTGCATTGCCAACACAATTGGAAAACAAATGCTGTACACAAACAAGACAGCCTTGCATGACCCCTCTGTTCCCACAGTTAGTACTTGATGGGAACGTTCTGGACCTGGCCATGCATTACAGGGCCGGGAAGACTGTTTAGTGTTAAATAATGTTAGAAACAATGAAAATTTTCACCATGCTGCTTACAAACAATATGTACTCTGGCAACATGAAAAGATAAGGAAGTGGGAACAGGAGAATGATTCCAAGGAATCCAAGCTGTTGTGTTACAGCAATACGGAAAAAAATATCCTTCTCCAAATGGGATATACTCTGGGTATCAACCTGCTAGATTGTAAATATTTGTTGCAAATGTTGTTATTATGTTATTGATCATTGACGAAAACTTTATTATTTCATTAACCCATTTCACTACAATTATCTCGATCCCATGACAGAGAGGATCATTTTAAATATTTTGAAGGAACTTGGGTAATTCACACCTGCATGCATGTTAAGACCCATTCACACAGCGATTTTAAACTGCGATTTTCTCCTTTCGGGATACAGTATGTGATTTAGCAAAATTACAGGAAATATTACTTTGCATGGCTTAGCTCATATATTTGTTGTGATATTCACTCAAACACATGCAACAAAAGAAGAAAATTGCAGTTCAAAATTGCTTGTGCGAACTAGCCTTTATAGCCCCATTGCTTATTTTAAGCTTTCTCTGTCTAATAAAGCCTTTATCATGTTAATTGGTTAAATCTTTATGGACAGTAATATTTCATTTTATTAAAGACAAGTTATCAAATGCATTGGATGTTCCAGCACAACATTTGGCACTGACGTTGATATTTTTATTCTTTAAAATTACTCCTTGCCCCTTACTTCAGCCTGACCCACTAGTTGGGTCCAGGAGTTTGTATAATCAGAATTTTCCTTTTCCAAGGTTGACTGTCTTTCAGGGATTATGAGCTCCACTTACCCAGCAGTTTTAAGTGCCAGATACTTGTCTACAGCGATCATTTGAATCTTAAGACTAATGGGTTTCAACAAATTCTTTGACTGAAGGAGGAGGGACAGGGGCTATGTTAGGGGCACTTTGCCTTTGGTCATCACTTCCAATACCAATCCCCATACCTAAAGAAGACTTACAATTAATTTTATTTTTTGTTTAATTAAATGCACATTAGTGCCTGCTGAGCAATGTGTTTTAAAAGCACTTAATCAAGCCAAATTTTGATTTTATTACTGCATGTTCATTCAAATCAAAATTTGGCTTCCAAAAAAGCATTTAAGTGCTCTAATTAATGCTCTAAACATATCAATCAGCAGGTGCTACTGTGCCCTTAACATGCCTACAGAATGATCAAAAGATTTGTTTGAAAATGTGATAAGAAAATGGATTTCACAATAAAACCCAAAAGTCATATTTTTCTCACCAGGATTCAGGAAAGCATAAAATGTTATACATACCTTCATTGTAAGAAGTTGTATAATGTATTCGTACTGCTTAGCAGTAAGAATCTTTACATGATTCCATCACTGTTTCCTTTGCTGAACATATACTGAAAATATACTTGCTGAACATATGTATACTGATTATTGAACATATACTTGCTGAACAGTGTCTGCATAGCTGGCAATGGCTCATGGCTGCATTGTTTCATATGTCTGCTGATCCGTCTGGGTTTCCACAGCGCTATAAGTGCACAATAAAGTTTTGTAATGACGAAATATAACAATATTAACATAATTGAAATATCCAAGGATACTGTATCTGTTATGTACTTACCAGTTACCACAATAAACAATTAAATCTGTCTTGATGTTTCGTATACAAGCTCGATCAGCAGAGTATTCCACCGACCAATACTACAATTTCGATGCATACCTTTTCGCGAAATATTCTTTTCGATCTCCTGGTTGGTTCTGGCGACCAGAAATGCATTAGAAGGATTTGCCTTTGAAACTCTCAAGTAGATGGTCGCGAGTCGCCATTGTCAACTTTGCTGTAGCGTGTTGAAATTGATATTTGATATGCATTTCCATATGTAACAAGCTTACCAATGACTGGGGAGAATTCATATTATTTTGTATAATTTAATTTTGCCAATCCCACACCACAAAATACTTTCACGTTTAGTTTCACCGAGCAAGGTACCAAGCGGCTTCATACACATTAGTTTCTATTTGATTTTGAAACAATTGCACAACGGAATAACTTATATTCGTAAAAACACACTTTAGATACATCTTTTTAGATATAAAGTTTCTTTTTTGACCGTATTTCTTGCTTTGATGTGAATATATAAGCGAGTTAAAAACAATTCGAATTTTGGCACTCCTGTGCGTCAGCCATCTTCTCTGAAATGCTATCAGTTTATAGCATTACGTAATATTTTTCAATGACAATGTTTACAAAATGTGTACACATTTGAGACATGCGCAGAATGGACTGTAACCCAGCTTTAAGTTTAGGAAATAATTCTAACCTAAAGCGCTGGAACATTCGTGACTCCGCCAACTGTGAGCTGTGCAACAAGTTGCAAACCCAGCTACACGTTTTTTCCAACTGCAAGGTAGCCTTAGAACAACAACGCTATACTTGGCGGCATGACTCGATTCTGATGACTATTATTCATCACTTAAAAGTCGCAGTTGGTGCAGATCTTCGACTATTTGCAGACTGTCCTAATTCAGGTACGACTAGCTGTACTTCAACTTTATTTCTAACGCTAAGACCTGATATAGTGGTGGATTTTAAGGGTTCTGTATATGTGGTTGAATTAACTGTTCCCTACGAAACCAATTGTACGAAGGCTAAACGTCGCAAGAAAGAAAGATACAGACATCTAAGATCTGAGCTGATCACGGCGTGTTATGCGTTTGAAGTTATTACACTTGAAGTAACCACTCTAGGGTTTGTGTCGAAAGATATTGACAGATTTCGTAGATTATTACGAACACTTGAAATGAACGACGAACGTATTATTATAAAATGTATGGAGGTAGCTCTGAGAGCAACATTCTACATTTACTGCAGAAGAAACAAGCCGTGGAATAACCCAGACTTACTGAATTTTTATTAGCTACTATTGATATAAAGTGTAGAGAATGGACCTATCTGTCTAATATAGTGAACTGTTTCTCTATTTTCCTGATTTAATTGAAAGTCTAATTATGTGATATATTTGTATAAATTATCATGTTATTAATAAAGATTTCTGTTGTTTAAAAATTATTATTATTATTATTATTATTATTATGATTATTAATACTGGCATTGAGCAGAGCATTGACGTGTTCTGCACGTGTCTGCAGTTTTATCAAAATTTTATTACTTGAATCACAAGTTATTTCACAAATAACCATCAGTAAATGTTGTAATCATGATTCGCTCAAGTTCTATATTAATGTTGTTGACCTGCGTCGTTTGTTCGTTCTGTGAGAAAGATTTCGTTTCACTCGGTCGACATTCATGGCGATGTAAACAGCGAGTTAATTATGCAGAACAAGATCACTCTGCCGAAAATACGGCAAGGCAAACGCCCGTCATGAATTCTCCTAATGTCGTCGTGTCAAGTCGAACCGTAATCAAGTGTTGCTGTGGTAAAGTATGTAAAGGAGCGCGAGGATTAAAGATGCATCAACGCAGTTGTAGAGTTATTCAAGGTCTAGACAGTGAATTCCGTACAGACCTAGAGGAACAAAACAATTCTGACACGGAAAATATTCCTGAAATGGACCAATCGACAATCAACGAAACTCCTACGGTTGAAAAGGAAGATATTGCGAATTTAAGAAAAGGTATTAAACTCCCTAAAAGCAATTCCGAATGGTCAACGGCCAACGAACATTTCAAATTCGCTCTTCAGTCCAATGATCCAATCACATCACAAGATTTAAATTCCAACATAAAACTGTTAATTAATTTAAATAACATCATATACAATTACTTCGCCCAAAACTTTGGTTATAGCGAATCAGTGCCTGACAATTCGCTACTAAATAAATGTAAGGACTATGAAATCAAGGATTTGTGAAAAGCTCTGAAAACCCTTAAATCAACGAATGGTGAACTAGACGAAATTAAATATGTGTCGCATATATTGCGTGATAAGCTTCGCTCAAACAATAACAATGAGTCAAGTCTAGAGAGCAGCCAGTCACTTAACCATGACAAATATATCGGGAAAAATTTCTGGGGTTATGTCAAGAATATTCTAAGGAAGAAAGACACTATATTACCATCTTTCAACATGACGCAATGCCTATCCCACTTCACTAAGACCCTTGCTGCAATTCATCCAAACAAATTGTTCAATATTCCTAGCTGGATTCCTGCGTTGTCTAACCCCGAAGTTCAATTTCACCTTGACCCCCCATCGTATCAACAAGTCACGAATATAATACGCAGAACGAAGGCATCTGGCTCTCCATGTCCCCTTGATCAGCTATCTATTATATGTTTTAAACGCTGTCCTTTCCTAAGAACATATTTAACTGACCTTATTCGTGCCGTGTGGCTATCTGGAACCATCCCTTCAGAATGGAAGAAAGCTTGCACAATGCTAATCCATAAAAAAGGCGATACTAATACCCCGTCCAATTTCCGACCCATCACACTGGAGACCATACCATTAAAAGTATTCACTTCCTGCCTACGTAACGCCATGTATTCATTCCTAACTGTTAATAACTTTATAAAACATAACATTCAAAAAGGATTCACACCTAACATGTCTGGCACCTTAGAACATACTGCACAAATGGCCAATATAATCAATAAAGCCCGAATCAAACAACGCTCACTAGTCATCACCCTACTTGACCTCAAGAATGCTTTTGGTGAAGTTCATCATAATTTGATCACATCCGTACTTGATTACCACCATATCCCTGAACATGTTAAATTGATAATTAAAAGTCTATATACCGATTTTAAAACTTCAATAATTACATCTGAATTCCGTACCCCCTTCATACCAGTTCGCCGTGGAGTATTGCAAGGTGATTGCCTGAGTCCTCTTCTCTTCAACATGTGTTTCAACACCTTTATACAACACATAAAAACAGATAAATATCGTCAATTCGGCTTCTCCTTACAGTTTCTAAAATCCCAACCACTGGTTTCAGTTTGCTGATGATGCCGCCGTCATAAGTAGTCAAGAATCCGAAAATCAACATCTTCTAAACCGGTTCTCCATTTGGTGCCAATGGTCCAACATGATTATTCGGGTTGATAAATGTAGTACCTTTGGCATCAAAAAATCTCTAACAAAATCAATCCAATACTTGCCTAAACTACTTATTAACAAGCAACTAATTCCAAAGATCAACATCAGTGAGGCTTTTCAATACTTAGGAAGATACTTTAGTTTTAATATGTCAGACGAACACCACAAGTCTGAACTAATCTCACTCGTTGAAGAACTAATGGCAGATATTGATTCCAAACCATTACATCCAAAAAATAAAATCCTCCTCTACAGTCGATATCTTCTGTCAAAATTATCCTGGCATTTTACAGTTTCTAGCGTATCGAAAACGTGGGTCACCGAAAACATTGATTCCAAAGTCAACAGTTATATCCGTAAATGGCTTGATATACCTATATCTGGAACGCTAAGCAGTGTTTTCCTAACCCGCAACAAGTTTGGCGTCAGTATTTGTCCCCATCTGTCAAATTTATTCAATGTCAAACTGTTCTCCGTAAAGCCCTAAAAACATCCCCAAACGAAGCAATTAACGATCTTTGGAAAGCAACTAGCAACAGCAAAAATATTCAGTATGACGTTTATAACTCCACTAAGCAAGTTCTTAAGGACTTTCGCTCTGGCCAAGAGGATAAACTGCATACTCAATTAACCTGTCAGGGCTCTTTCTTCACTAATATAACAAAGTTCTCACTGTCCCAACTCACTAAAATTTGGTCTGCGTGCCAATCGAACCTTCCGAAAAATATATTCAACTTTACAGTTTGATACATCAATAACTCCCTTCCAACGCACCAAAACCTTGCAAGATTGGGTTTATCACCGACTTCAGACTGTTCGCGATGTCTAGCTCCTGAAACACTTCTGCACGTAGTAGCTGGCTGCCAATCGTATCTACAACGATTCACGTGGAGACATGACTCCGTTCTAAACTTTCTCGCAACAAGGCCTGCAGACCGTAAGCGGCTCACATCTTTACGTGGATCTCCCAGGGTACAAAAGTCCATCAATCATCACTGGTGACACCTACCGTCCAGATTTACTTCTTTCAACCTCAACCGGAACACTCTATATTGTTGAACTTACAGTTGGCTTCGAATAAAATCTTCAAAAAAACGTTGAGCGTAAAAAATCAAAATATAAAGAATTAATTAGGGAACATAATGAACATTTCAACTCAGTAAAATTTGTAAATCTTTCGATTAGTTCTCTTGGTGTTTTCAGTAAAGAATGTTCTACTTTCATAGAAATGCTTAATGATTTTGGTTTTCAAAAGCAACATCAGAATTACTGTATTAGAAGAATGACGACGATTGCAATCCGAACAACTTATTATATATTTTGTGAAGTGTTTAAACGTTAAGTGTTAACTGTTAAGTGTTTAAACGTTGTACTGTCATTTTGTTATCTTAATAGTATAATTTTTGCGTATATAATCAGTGATTTAAGTAGCCAGTTGTAAATTACCTGATATAAGTGAGATTTGCAATTATATATATAAGCTAAATATCCATTTAATAAAGTTTTCATTATTATTATTACATTGCGTGACAGGCTCCGTAACAATGGCAAGGACGCCGATGACTTAAATGACAGTGAGTCGTTTAATCACAACAAATATCTGGAACGAAGCTTTTGGGGCTATGTTAAAAATATAATAAATAGTAAAGACGCAGTATTACCATCATTTAACATGACTGATTGCCTTTCTTATTTCTCTAAATCTCTGGCTAAAATTAATCCTAACAAGCTATTTGTAATTCCCAGCTGGATCCCAAAGTTATCTGATCCTGCAGTTCAATTTAACCTTGACTCCCCGACCTATCAACAAATTACGAATGTTATACGCAAAATGAAATCGTCTGGTTCTCCTTGCCCTCTTGATCAACTTTCTATAATAAGTTTCAAGCATTGTCCTTATCTGAGAAATTACCTTACTGAGCTAATTCACGATATTTGGCTATCTGGAACTGTCCCAACTGAGTGGAAAAGAGCATGTACCATACTAATCCACAAGAAAGGCAACAATAATGACCCTTCAAATTTCCGCCCCATAACACTCGAATCCATACCTTTAAAAGTATTTACATCTTGTCTCCGAAACGCAGTATACTCCTTCCTCGCATCTAACAACCTCGTCGAACACAACATACAAAAAGGCTTCACCCCCAACCTATCTGGCACTCTAGAACATACTGCACAAATGGCTGACATTATTAATAAAGCTCGGATCAGTCAACGCTCTGTTGTCATCACCCTACTTGATCTTAAGAATGCCTTCGGCGAAATCCATCACAACCTCATTCAATCCGTACTTGACTACCACCATATCCCTGATCATATAAAATTTGTTATAAAAAGTTTATATACTGATTTCCAAACCTCGATAATTACCTCTGAATTCCGCACTCCTTTTATGACAGTTGGCCGTGGCGTATTGCAAGGAGATTGCCTCAGTCCTCTTCTTTTTAACATGTGCTTCAATAATTTCATTCAGCATATCAAGGCTGAAAAGTACCGTCAATTTGGGTTTTCCTTCAAATTACTAAATCCCATCCATTGGCTCCAGTTTGCTGATGACGCGGCTGTAATTACTGGCCAAGAATCCGAAAACCAACATCTATTAAATCGATTTTCTATCTGGTGCCAATGGTCCGATATGATTATCCGAGTTGACAAATGCAGTACCTTTGGCATTAAAAAAGCGGTCACAAAATCAGTTCAGTACTTGCCAAAACTCCTCATCAGCAATCAACTAATACCAAAAATCACCATTGGAGAATCATTTCAATATTTAGGACGTTACTTTGATTTCCACATGTCGAATGATAATCACAAAACTGAACTAGTCACCCTACTTAACGAACTAATGTCTGATGTTGACTCAAAGCCACTACAACCTAAAAATAAACTGCTCCTCTACAGTCGCTACGTCTTGTCCAAGTTAGCCTGGCACCTCACCGTCGCAACACTCTCTAAAACATGGGTTACTGAAAATATCGACTCTATTGCCAACAAATATATCCGCAGATGGCTTGAAGTACCAATATCAGGAACACTAAGTACTGTCTTTCTAACAAATAACAAATTTGGCCTGAGTATTTATCCTCCATCTGTAAAATTTATCCAGTGTCAAACAGTCCTCCGAAAAGCTTTAAAATCTTCTCCTAATGAATCAACTAACGACCTGTGGAGAGCAACCAGTAACCATACTAATATCCAATATGACGCTTATAACTCTACTAAGGAAGTTCTCAAAGATTTCCGTTCTGGACACGAAAACAAACTCCTAAACCAATTAACCAGTCAAGGATCCTTTTTCTGCAGCGTCACGACGTTCGCTTTACCTCAGCTTAGCAAGGTGTGGTCCGTCGCCCAATCAAAGCTCCCGAAAAACATTTACAACTTTACCATTCGTTACATTAACAACTCTCTTCCGACACGCAAAAACCTAAACAGATGGGCAATATCTTCAAATTCAGATTGTTCTTTTTGTCTTAGCCCTGAAACATTACTACACATAGTAGCTGGATGTCAGTTTTATCTCGACCGATTTACGTGGAGACACAATTCAGTCCTGAACTTTCTTGCTCATCAGTTACAAACTGTTGACGGTTCTACTCTCTACGCTGATCTAAATGGATTCAAAAGCCCTTCAATACTTACT